GTGGAAGGCTTGATTCTGGAGGGAAGGCCTTATTGAGAGCAAAGATTGACAAACTTTCTTAAAGGAATAGACAGTAAATATTTCAGCCTCCAGAGTCTTCTGGTTTCTGTCAACCCCTTGGCTCTGCCACGATAGCATGACCATAGCCAGGATGATATGCACGAGTGTGGCTGGGTTTGGTGGCATCTATGGACTCTAGTTTGCTTAACCATGGTTCAAATTCCATCTAGATCCCCAAGTGAGTATAGACAGCTTATGGGATCAGAATCACCCAAGGAAAGAGACAGAACTGATAGGAATATGGGACAAACCAAAACAAAGCAGGGTCATGGGAGAGACAGGGGCCCATTCTCAGGGTTTCTACAGGAAGTGACCCTGTGAGTCTTGGCTCAGAGATCCTTGCAACCTCCTAGGATGGCTCTTCCTGGGTCAGAACCCAGGGGAGAGGTATGCAGAGGGGTCCAAAGAACACAGGACACCAGCACTTCGTTTTCTTGCAGAGCTGTTCATGAAGCCAGGCCCTTCCAGGCACCAGCTGCCGATAAGTTAGGGCTCAAGATTTCTTAGTTATCTATGGAAATCCCTCAGTAGGTTTGGCTTTAGCTACCAGACATCTCCAAGGATGTGGCACTTGGTATTATCGAAGGCCTCAGCTTATGGGTAAGAAAAAAGGGCTGCCCAGGGTTGTATGTTGGAGACATGAGGACAGCCAGCAGAGATACTCAGGAGATCCAGAATTGGCTGCAGCTCTGCCACTGACCAAAATCCCTGTAGTCCCCACCTATGAGCTGTGGACAATACATGTGTCCTGGCTGCCTGATGGGGGTGTTGGGAACCCAGCAAAAGAAAGTATAGGGGTACATGCCTGTGATGCCAGCACTTGGGAGGTGGAGGCAGGAGGATGGGGAGTCCTTGTGAGCTTGAGGCTAACCTGGGCTGTATGAGATCCTGCCCTAGTTGAGGCTAACCTGGGTTGTATGAGACCCTGCCCTAGTCGACTTTCTTTTGCTGTTATAAAACACTTACCAAGATCAGCTTGTGGAGGAAAGGGCTTAGTTCAGCTTACAGGTTATAGGCTATCATCAAGCAAATCCAGGGCAGGAACTCAAGCAGAGACCATGGATTACTCAGCCTTCTTCCCAAGGGTGCCGCCACCTGCAGTGGCCCCTACACTGATCATTAATCAAGAAGAGGCCAAACAGACGTGGCTACAGGTCAATCTGATGGAGGCAGTTCCTCAATTGTGGTTCCCTCTTCTCAGGTGACTCTAGTTTGTGTCAAGTTGGCAAAAACTAAAAAGCACAGACCCTATCCAAACCAAACCAACCCAATCAAGCCAAACTAAATCAAACCAAAACAATACCCAAGAAAAAGGAATGCACATAAAGATATTTTCTGGTATGGGACACATGGCACACACGCAGGCCATTGTTTTTCCTGATAGTAACATCTAGTTCTCTCTCCTGCCTGCTCTTATCTTCTCCAAGCTCCCTTGGTCTGCAAAGGCCAAGCTATGGTGCATAGGATGTCTGAGCAGCTCCTGGGGTCACTTCTTAGTGCTCTGTTCCTGCTCCTGCAGCAATGACACTCTCCTTGGCTCATACTCCCAGGGCCTGATCACAACCACATGAGCCCCCCTTTAAAGATGCTTTTGGGGGTTGGGGCTGTGGCTCAGTTGGCAGAGTGCTTGCTTAGTATGCGCAGAGCCTGAGGTTGAGGCCTAGAGCACACACACGGGGTGTGATGGCACACACCTGAAATTCCAGCATGGAAACGGCGGAGGTGGGAGGATCAGGTCATCCTCAGCTATACACTGCATTCAAGGCCAGCTGGGACACATGAGCTCATATTTCAAAGGGGAAAAACAAAAAAAGGTGCTTTTGGGCTAAATTAGCCCAATGAAGGATGAGCAAAAGTGCAAAGCTGTGCCAGGAAGGTTGATAGTGAACATGGCTCCTGCTTTCAGTATCAGAAAAAAAAGGCCTACCATGCTCTCATCTTAAAGAAGGGTTCTGGAAACTTGCACATGGACCATGAAACATCACCTTGCTGAAAAGATCCCATCCCTACCATTCCATGGAAGCCTCCGTAATAAAAGAACACAGCAGATAGCTGACTTATCCTATGTCATAATTGAGCCATAAGGGCTCACACCTGAGTTGCTGATGAAAAATTAATGGCTGGTCAATGTTGGGATGACATATTCTGTCTAAGCTGTTTCCTGAGTCAGGACATATGTTGAGAAAAATGTTTTGCTTGGAGTACAGGGGTGGGATGGAAGGCCTCTGAAAGATGGCTGGGAGACTGGAGCAGCTCCCTCCCCCCCTCTCTGTCTGTCTGTCTGTCTCTGTATTGGGGGCCATGTAGGTCATCCTTATGGGGGAGTAAGGAGGGAAACCCAATGCTCTACATGGTGCAGAGCCAGAACTGCTTGCTGGGAGTCTAGTCCAGGGTCATTTGAATTTTTCTTGACTCTTCATGCCATAGCCCTGTTAGAGTCCTTGAAAGTAACCTCAGGCTCCTGTGGCCCCTTCCTCTTGTCCCCACCTTGTCAGGGTTGCCAGTCACCTAGATTACAGTCAAGCTCCCAGAGGTCACCTGAGAGTGGTACCCCATTAACACCAGCACACAGAGGTCAAGAGGTTACTTGTGTCAGAATCTAATACATGGCTAGCCGCTCCTGACAGCCAGTGGTCTATATCTAAAGGTCCAACAAACCAGGGAAGAAAATTATCAGACAAAAATGTGCCTGTGCAGACTTTCTTCTTGTCAACACCCCTGAAGAGTACAGTAACATAGCTGTTTATGTAGCATCTAAATCATGTTACATCATATACATTATGTAGAGATAGTTTACGGGAGGCTGTGCATAGGCATGAGAATATTGTGACATTTTATACAAAGACTTGAACATCTCCAGATTTACATCACCTTGTTTTATCCTCTGCGGTGGGGCGGGGGGCGACGACGACCAAAAACCAAACATAAAACAGACGCACAGGCCCATGGGGTGCGTCAGTAGGATCTATTTTAAAATACCTGATTTCTGTTACCATCTCTATCGTGACACCCTGCACCCAGCCACCATGGACTCATCTGGGTAGCAGAGAACCCCTCCTTTGTCTCTCTGCAGCCTGCTCACTCACACAGCTTCCCACAGAACAGGCCTTTTCAAGCAAACGCCAGGTGGCGCACATCCTCACCCAGACCTGGATGACAGTGGCAGCTGCCCCAGCCCTGCTTCCTGCTGCTTACAAGAACTTTCCATTTGCTGTCTCTTCTCCTTGGAGGCTGCTATCTATCTTTATCTCCTCCAGGGGTGCTCACATCTCATCTAACCTGCACCCCAATGCTCCTGCCTCCCAGTCTCAAAGGGTGAGTGAGTTGGTAGGATCACAAAGAGATTGTTTTACTGTGTTCACCACCCATGAAACATGGGGGGAGATGCTTGGACTCTGTGGTCACTGCTGTTTCCCTAGAACTGAATACTTCTCTTCACATCAGTGGTGTTTGTTGACTGGGCACTAAGCCTGTGAGTGAGGCTTTGTGCACGGATGGAGTTCTGTTCTGGTTTTTTGGTATGAAGATCTGGGTGTTTGATCAAGTATTGATTAGCCACGCACATGGGAGTGGTCACACAACAAAGTGACTGGCAGAATGGGAAAGGATTGGTCCCAGGTATTCATGTGTATGTGTGTTTGTATGTGTGCAGGTGCATATGTACATGTGTGCAGGTTCACATGCAGATGTGTGCAGGTGAGTACATGTGGGAACAAGAGGTTAACATTGGTGTCATTCCTCAGATGCCCCCCACTTTGACACTTTTTTTTGAGGATGATCTCTTCACTGGCCCAGAGCTGGCTGATGTGGATATGCTAGCTGCCCAGGGAGTCCTGGGGATCCTCCTGTCTCTGCCTTCCCAGGTGGGTATCACCACACTTGGCTTTTTCCCATGGGTTCTGGGGATTGAATTTAGGTCCTCATCAACCTTAGGAACTTTACTAACGGAGCCACATACCCAGGTCAGGTCTCATCTTGTTCCCACTTCCTGTCTATTTCTTCCTTATCCCGTATCCCTCTGAGGGATTCCATTCTTTGGTGTCCTTCAGGTCAGGGCATCTGGGATGGACTGAAGGTTTAACTCAGGGCAGCAGCAGATGGAAATGTCCTTGTGTAGAGCCCCAAACTGTTGATTATGCATCCCTGAAAGAGTCTGTTAGCCTCTGCCTGCTTCTCTTGTCTCTCAAGAGTAAATCCTTCTTCCCCGTGAGCAGAGCATGCCCCTGGGGTAGTGGGCTTGTGGGAAGAACTGCACCAGCCCCGAGGGAAGCAGGAGCCAGCCAGATGCTCCAGAGCTCTTCTGTTAAGTACGGAGCACATCACTGCCTGTGCTGTCAGCTCAGGGAGAGCCCGCCTCTGTAATAAATAAAATAATCTCTCTAGGCTAAAACAATAGACATCATATAATTACAGAACGAAATGCATATTGTTTTCTGGATATGAATACTGGCTGCAGAAATCAAATTACCTCATTGGATATGAGAGAATTACTTTAAACATTGATTTATAAGAAGCTACATAAAACTAAGCCTGCAATCTTTCCTCCTCCGAAACGCTTCCTGAGATGTGTCTGAATACTGCTATCAATGCTTGATTGCATCTCTGTAATTGTTTTTTTATGGATAGCTTTTTCCCTCTGATACATAGAAATGTATTAGCAAAATCAAAGTTCCTTCCAGAAATAAACAGATGCCAGATTAGACCATTCTTTGTATGGGTGCACATCCATTTTTTG